TACAATTCGAGCGGATTTTTATATTTTTTTTATCTTTCACTAAAATTTTTATGACGTCATCACCATTATTTTGCCTCCAAGTTCATCTTTGCCCTCCTGTCCATATGATTGGTTATAGCTAATACATACCAAACATTTTAATATACAATAAAAAAAAAAAAAAGAAGAAATAACTAGCTAAAATTGGATTATATTGCTACCACTAAGTTTACATTCTATTTTACAACAGCTCTACTACAGTGAATGCAGATTAATCAATTCACATGCACAATTTGCCATACTTATTCCGATTACAAATTTTGGAAAACTGGTTTTTTGAAATGAATTTAACATTACATACAAGATAATATTAAGAAAAAGTCTCTTTCATTTGAGACCATCTTTTCGAAATTTAGAAGAAAACAAAGGAAGCCATTGATAAGGAAAAGGAAATTAGTTGACTTGTTGAAGCCTGTATTTGCTATTACTCATTGTCTTAACAGCATTGTAATTTGCATGCTTCTCATTTCTCTAATTAATGATGTGCAAATAATTGTATTAATTTTACGTTAATTAGTAATTGATTTCAGGTTTGATAGTTGATTATTTCTAATAAGCTTATGAGGGTGCTATTCAAATTTAAGGAAATATATTAACATTTACAATTTATTGGTTTTGGAATGGTGTTTCCACTTCTTATCTTAAATTAAATCTTATACCCCCTTTACACTGCAAGCAAAATTCCGGTCATAACCCGGGATTTTCCAATACCCGGGTTAAAATCTCCCAAGTTGTGGTTAGTGTAAACGTCAAAAAGTCTGACTCGGGTTGGCCAACAATTTTCATCAATTTGTTTACTTTTATTTAACAATTTTACATTTGTTTACACATTGCAGTTGGCCTAAAATATAAATTTATAAATATTATTATTTATTTAGCATTTTGCTAGTAAAGCGTTCTTGGCAGCATCATTGTGTTCATGGCTGATTTATTACATCTCATCAAAGAACATAGAATTCTAGCAAGGTAACTGCAACTTGCAAGATTCAGACGTTTGCTGAAAAATTAAAAAATATATATATATTTTAATTTAGTTAGTAAATCATACTACATGTTTTAAGTCAGCATTTATATATGTCTAGTCTATAATAACAGGTACATAATGTCATAAAAAAACATTAAATCCTGCCTTGCTAGGCTCCATCTATACGTGTGTAACTAGGCCTAAGGCCGCAGAGTCACGACCACCACTACACACAGACGCCCACCCAACACAACACACATACAGTACATACCCTGCAGTGCAGATAGAGCCTAGGCCTAAGCCCTACATGTATTTCGGGATCGATATTAAAATAAACTTCATTTTTCGGAAGACTGCTTAGTACCAAAACCTATTAACTCTAATTTTTTTAGTATTGTTATTAAAGAACTGAAGCTTACTTGAAAGAAAAAGTATTTTTATGCACCGATTCTGTTCCAAATCTTCGCGGCGAAAACTTTGGGCCCATCCATTCCCATGTGATTTCTGATTTCGTTAGTTTGTTGAAATTTATGTACTCAACTGACAGCCATCTTATTGAATGAGGTCGGCGCTGGATGCAAAAGATTGTAACATGGACTCGATAAACCAGGTGGTTCTACCACGCTTGCCTTGCCCTGGAGTTGTTATTTTGATAAACAACTTAAATAACAACTCCCTGGCCTTGTTTATGACATATTATGGCTGAGCGAGCGCCATAGTATATTGGCTTAAGATAAGAATTTTTGTTTCATTGCTCTATGACATCGTGGAAATCACATTTGGATCTCTGTGTAGTGTGAATGGTGTTATATGTGCTATACAAAACTACTTAGATTACTAGATTTGTAAACATTTAAAAATAATTATTGAACATTTAAGTATTGTGCCTTTGTATGAAAAATGCATAGCATGGCATGAGGATTCCTGACAAGGAAAAATAGGAGAATTAGAATTCAGTAACTGAAGAACAGAATAAATTGAACTTTAAAGATAAAAAAAGTATCACATAATAATCTAGGCAAAAGACATTTATCCACTGAGGAACTGTTTTAAAAAGGAAGAAGGGGAAAGTCAGTCATTTTGCACTATTTAATCCTAATGTCATTTATTATCACAAAGACCATACCATGATCTTCCAAAGCTTCTCCCAACTTGGGACACCTGATATAATGTGTAAATAAATTGGTCATGAACCCTATTGCTATGAAGTAGTTATATTAAGTTTGGTGCTGCCTGTAATAAACAAGAAGATGATGAACCCTATCTATGTTTGCAGTGCTAGGAATTTCACACCAAAGGAGAAAAAAGTCAGACCAGTGTTTATGAAAAACAACATTCTTTATGTCCTAAAATAGCTTAAAAATCTATAATCTAATTTAATTATTGTTGTTAAACACACTGTCAGAGTGACAAGTGTAACAACTGTAGGCCTAAAGTATGTTCAAATAAATAGTCCTGGCTTAGTTCTGGCCAAGAATAATGTGGCTGTTATTTTTATTGTTGCTAACTATTTGTGAGTAAATTATAGCATTGTCAATTGTTTAATAAAAGTTTATGGAATATAAATGTTAATAATTTGAAGCCATGGAAAAAATTAGGGAACATGCACTATGCATGTAGTAGTTAGAATTGTCAGTGTTGTGTAGTGATAGTGATTATTTATATATATATTTTTTTTAATTTTAAAGATTTTAAAAATTTTAAAGGTTGTTATAAATTTTCAATGTTTGTTTTAGTTTTTAACCAACTTTTATGTATTTGTTTTCATTTAAGGGACCCCAACAAAAATAAACCGATTCGGTTTTTTTGGGTTATCCTGAGCTGTAAATGTTTTACTAAATTATCTTTTTATTGTTCATTGTTTTGTTATTTGTAATGTGTTGAATTATGCTCAAATAAATTTGAATTGAATTGAATTGAATTTGAATTTATAAACTTGTGTACATTTGTTGGCTAGTTTATAACCAAGTTCAATGATACAGATCCTGCTGTAGGGAGCATGTATTTTTAACAACTGTTAATTAAGGTGATAGACCAGTTATAATGAATTTAGTCAGAACACCATAATCTAAAATCAATGTTATAGGTAGCCTGTTGTGTGTAGTCATCCATTAGTTACTCTTTACTGAAAGCAACCTAGATACTGTTGTTCTTTGTCTAGCTGGTGTAACCCAACACACCCATTGTACTTGGGGTACGTGAAGACAATTGTAACTTGTTTATAATAATGTTATGTGCATATCTCATCCTGAATAACTTTCATGTTTGTTTTTCATGGAATTTGGAATCTCTTATGCTTGATGAGTTTACCGGATAAAAATAGTGACTCTTACTAGGAATATAATCAAGACTTATTATAAGCAAACATAACAGTTAAAAATAGTGACTCTTCCTACTAGGACCAAAATCAGGACTGTTAATTTGTGATGTTCTAAATAATATTACTAAAGTATTTTCAATAGTTTAACTTTTTTGGATGTTTTAAATAATTCTAAGACATTTTTATTAAGGTTTCAAACGCTTTCTGGTTTTTAATTACTTTTAAATATTTGTTGCAGTTTTCCTTTATATTTTCATTGTCATTTGTATGTTTTTATTTTGTACAGATCTTGTCTTCTTTTTTAAATTTTGGCATTGTATGTGTTTATATTTATTTTATTTCTTTGTATTCATCTGCCAAGCAATTAAATTTTTCGTATTTTTACATAGACCAGTAACATTTATCGAGTCTTAAATTTTAGCATATAAGCAAATATAATAAAATAATAAAAATAGTGATTCTTGCATGAACAAAATCATGACTCTAGCATAAACAAACATAATACACTACTATTATAAGTGATAACATGAAAGTTGTGTTTAGTACCAGTCTCTGTTGTATTTGAATTGTTTTTTTTTTAACTTAAACTTCTTTGAAATACTTAATTCTTTGGTATTTAAAAAAAATAAATCTAAGTTGATTTATATCCAGTGTGAATTTTCAGACCACATTTCCCATTAGACTAAATAGGAACATACTCATTCTGAACAATATAACACCAGAAGCAACTCTCTAGGACTAGAAGTTAACAAGATATAATAACTATATTGTCATGACCTTTCACCTAGATATTATTTTTTTTTAATGGTAGAAAAGTGAATAGATATGCAAGCATTTCTACAGGCTTACAATAAGTACATGGTTCATTTCCACTTGATTACATTACACAATAAATGATTGCACTCAAGGATAGAAGTTACAAGACTTAACCCTCTAGATACCGTCTTCGACTGTAGTCGAAATTGACCTCAAACCGAGAATTCCTATTTTCGACTGCAATCGAAATTTAGTGAATAAAAAATAGGTGGTTTTCAAATCGCTCCTGTTTTTATTTTAGCTCCGATACGTCAGAAGTTTTGAACACGCATGCGTGAAGCTTTTTTCTTTCGAAATCTGTGAAGAACTCAAATGTTTAGAAATATCAATTTGAAATCGTTATTAATTTCGAAAATTTTCCGAAATAGCCGCACAAAATGTGTACACAGCTGAGGAAGCAATTGACCTGATTTTTTATTCAGACAGCGATGAAAGTGAGTTTTTAGAATTGTGCGAGACTTAGACGTGCCTGATAGCGATGATGACGGTGGGGCTTCAAGTAGTTCTGACGGCGGAGATGTTCTTGATGAAGATGAGCCTAGGCCTAGAAATGTGAGGGTGGTCGTTGCTTTTGAATGGAAAGATCGTGCTTATAGTAATGGATGGTTTGGTAAATAAATTATATAACTGTGTGGAATAGGAATGTTTTATATTTTTTTTTTTTTTTTTTTGTTTTTTTTTTTTGGGGGTTTTTGCTGACGATTTGTATGTAGCATTTTCTGTCATTTCTATTATATTATATATATTATATTATATTATATTATGAATAAAAAATCCTAAAAATATAAATTATACATCAAATGAAAGCTTATTTTTTAAGCTTTCTTTGTTTTTAGAAACATTTTTCTGTATAATTTACAGAAAGTTCCCAAAAATCTACCAGAACGACGTATACTCAAAAAAACGCAAAAACCTAGTTACACTGCAAAAGAATCCGGTATTCAAGGGTTTGCACTACAAAAGAATCCGGTATCCAGAGGGTTAAGAAGTGATGGCAGGCAATTGATGGCATAGCCGTAAGCAAAGTACTGTAAATGTACCCTGTGTGACTGCAATTGGGAGCAGTACCTCTAGAGGTGTTCTCAACACAATTAAGTCACACAACTGTCTTTTGCATTATGTAGAATATATTTACTTGTGTTTTTGAAAGAAGTTAAAGTTAAATTACATAAGGTTTGATTGGCTATCTGGTGATGTTTACACTGAAATATTATTTAAACCATGGAAGAGCTCTCATAACAGCTAGCTTTTCTTCACATCCTTGGATGTATATTGTTCATTAAACCTTGGATGTTTTTCCCTTTCAACTTGTTTGCAAAGATCAGAGTTATTGTCTTCATGTAATCCTCTCCTAAATTTTTCTGTTTACCGATTATTGTCATTGAAAACAATTATTTCACTCGTTAAGAAAGCATTAGTACGCTTTGAGACTAGTTGAGATGTTCTTAACACAACCTTTCCTATGCATATACATCTTCACTTGATGAAGTGTACATAAAAGATTGTGTTAATAAAAATCTCAACTACAGTAGTGTCAAAGTGTACCTTTGCTTTCTTACTGTTTTGTAAGTACAGCTCATCATATTATTTCGCTCTAAATGAGGTACTTTCAAAATAGGCAAGTATTTTGGGCTGTTTTAAAATCAGTAAGTTTCATTTGAAGCTTCTCCTGTAAGGAAGCTTTTACCTTGATACTGTAGTAGTATAGTTCATATGTATGCTTTCCATTAAAAAAAAACCAAAAAAACTGAAACAAAACAAAATTGCAAACACAACAAAGCTTATAGAGTGAGAAATGGTTTTTTGGTAGGTGTGAGAAAAAAAAATCTCTCAGGGGCTTGATAATGTTATTGGAAGGCACATCTCAACCATCAAGAAAGATCTCCACTGCTTCACAGTAATGTGAAAAATTAAAAAAAAATATGTCTGCTGCCCTCTATATATGGGTAATCCAGCACAAAACTGATAAACTGTATTATGTAGATACTGCCCTCTATATCAGTGGTGATGAAATTTATTACCATTATTTATTTGAATAAAAGCCAAGGGGCATTTAAGAAGGATTTTGAGGTTCTTTTATTCAAGGATTGGTGTAAATTGGATACCCTACTCAAATAAATGCCCCATGCTGTAATTTCACTGTAAAAGTGGGACACAATTACCGTCAAAGTGTCACATTGCGTATTAATCATATAGACTTATTGTTCCCAACCAGGTTAAATGTTTCTCTTTCGGTTTGGAGAGCCACTTGACAGTATTTTAGTATACTCTTGGTTATCCTGTCTTCCCAAGTTTGAAACTGTTTTGTGTGTTCAAATTAGACTAAATAAACGAAATGAAATGAAATAAAATGTAATTCTACTGGAGTAGAACATCAGTAGAAATGTTTTAAGAATTTATTTATTTATTTATTCTTTCTTTATACTGAATATACACTTTCAATACATAGTACTGATTTCCAAAGTGGTTCAGTTCTTATCTACAAAAACATTTTAAAAGCAGAAAATAACAAAGAGAGCAAAAACTTAACTACAAATTAAAAAAATATATATATATATTAAAATATATATATAGAATGGGAATGAGGTGTGTCTACATTTATTTTGAAGAAAGCTAAACATCTCAGAACATTCATTCAAAGGAGGCATTTATTCCAATTGTAGAGGGGCTGTTTATTCAAAGCAGGGCTTTATTTAAATAAATACAGTAGTTGTGCTTAAGACATTAAGAAATGTCAGTGATGGTGAGGAACAAAAACCATGAATCATATTTAACCTGAAAATAGTAAATCATTTGAATAGGCTGTCTTTACAAACATTTTATAAATTAGAACGTACTTTACTATAATCGATAACATTTTTTTGATATGAGAAAAATATAATATTTCAAATTAGCTTAATTGTATATAGTTTCAAATTTAGATTTAATAACATATACCAGTATTTCCATTTCAAAAACAATGAACAAGATCATATAATTAAGTGAAAAACATATTTGTTAGTTGGTTTCTATTGTAAATTAATAAATTTTATAAATGTGAATATTTGGGTTTTACAAAATACCTAACCCATGGCCTCCTCTTCACATGAATCCACCACATGCGGTTGTATTGGCTAATCTGTAATCATAATGGATGCTGTTCTTTGGTCATTTATGATATTACCTGGATGATGATGATAAATTGTTTTCATTATGAAAAATGACACAACCTTGACTGGTATTAAGTGATAACTTGTAAAACCATGCCAGAAGTTCTCACCACAAGAAGTGATAAGACTAAAGCCCCTTTCAGACAGAGCTGCAATATTGCGGTAAGCACAATACCATGGGTTTCTGTCTTAAAGTCTCAATACGCCAATATGCCGGCTCTTTAGGCCACCTTGAACCCTAGTAATATTGCCACAATAATGCGGTAACGGTTACTGGCTTGCTCTGTCTGAAAGAGTCGATATTCTCGATATTGCGGCTATCAAGCCGGCGTGTGAATTTATGCGTAAACAAACAAGGTTAAAGGTGAAAACAATTGCGCAGTGGTATTTTAACCGCCAATAATACGCCATTCTATAGCACGCTTTCAGACAGAAAAGTGTAAGATTACTGCAATATTGCGGTAACAAAGGCGCTGGGTGTAAGGGTATAGACTGGTTATTATGTTGGCATGCTTACCGCAATATTGCGTCAACGTCTATCTGAAAGGGGCTTATCAAGGATGGGAATGTAGTGTATGTAGGCAAAAAAATGGTCTGTGAATTGGTATTGTGAAAATAAACCTGAGCCCTATAGGGGCTTGGGCCATATTATGGGCAAAACATGCAGTACTTCTCAATCTCCTATTTTGCCCCTAGACTAGAATCTTGACTGGTGTTGAATGATATGGTAAAACCATGGTAAGGTTTTTACCACATAGAGTGATAAGACTAATGCCATTTCAGACAGGCTCTGGCAATATTACGGTAATAATACTGTTACACTTTCCAACATGCACCATTTCTACCAACAAAATATTGAGATAATACCGTACACAAATACAAATTACACTAAATATTATAATGGTAAGGCTAGACTTTATAGTAATTTCCTTTATGTTATACTTTGCGAGTCAAATGGTTAAGGCAGGGGCGCTGCGACGTATAGCCATAATATCGCCGCTGGTTCGAATGGGACGCTTGTTTATAGCTCTAGTGTTGGAACAAGTCTTCTTGGATAAGGACTAGTGTACACAAATACCACAAATGTGCACTTTATGGAACCCAGTACATCTTTTGAGATGAGTAGGCGATTACCCCAGTGTCTGGTTCCTACACACCCTGTTCTGGGCAAACGAGAGATAGCTGTACCGGTTTACCGGGGAGCTCAGACACGAACAGACCCTTACAGTAGGAGGAAAGCAAGTTATTGTACGAGCTAGTCCACACCTCAAGTGCTTTGAGACTTCGGTATAAAGCGCTATATAAATCCAAATACATTTTACATTACCTTTGATATGTGTGCTGTAGTATATAAAGTAAGTTTTGAAAACAAATAATATATGGTAGATGAAAATTTTGTTCATTAAGGTTAAAATGGCTATGTCGGATGAGGCACCAACAGCGAGTTACAGCCCGTGAGCTAGGTCTATATACAGTATCCTGGCAGCTATTGAAGGTACATCATGTGATGTGGGTACAGAGGTCCCAAGTCTACTGCTACTTGCAGTAGTCTACCGTTTTTAGCGACGATCTACCGCGCTACTGTAAGCTTACGTTTTTCTACCGCAAAAAAACATAACTCAGGATGTTAAAAAACAATCGTAAACAATCACAAATAAGTTTATTCCACTCCCTACCATCACTGTTTATAATGCATTTGCAATTAATTACGGTAGCTGCTGAAAACATGGAATCAAAATACACTTTGTTTATTAAAAAAGTTGATGCGCTCATCCTTCCGACGCCCGGCCTGAGACCATGCAGTGTGATTTGATATCTAAACAACCCTGTAAACAACACGCCCTTTAACCCGTAGAACAGACCTACAGCTAACTTTTTGCATAAAGTTAATTTTATTGAGCTGTTTCCTAAAAATAATCACACAATTATTAATTAATAGTTATAAATTAATATGTAAAAATATGGCTCCAGCGAAGAAACGTAAAATTCATGTGCTTTTAATTCACAATTCATCAAGAAGTACATTCGCCAATGGTGGCGCACCATCGAGGTCAACGAACTCAACTCTGGAAAAAATATCTGTTTGAAAGCATGGAGGTCCATGTTGTTGGTTATGCTGTAATATCGGTGAAGAACGGTGGAATGGCCGATGTTGAAAGATATTTAAAGGTATGTTGACTTCTTTTTAAACAGTTTTATGTGATTGTGATAAAAATCATACGTTCTATATTCAGTTTTGTGACTTGGAAATGGATGGTTTAGAGGCTTGCACTCGTCGTTACCCTACCTAGACCTAAGCCTAGCCGCCAGGCCTTCATTGATCTCCTCGAGCCATTTTTCCTGTACTTGCTAGGGCCTCGACTAGGCCTAGGCCAACCGTCCTTAAAATACCTTAGGTCTAGACCTCATTTAAGGTTTTTGAAGTCAAGCTACGTACACCTAGACAAGACTATCGACTATCGAATGAAAAAAAATTAGGTTACACACATTTTGAGATAATATTTTCGTTATTGTTTTATGTTTACAGACTTGTTTGCCATGATTGAACTGCATCCAAATTCCACTCTTCCCTTAGCAGCAAAGAAGCTACTACTACTGCTGTTAAATACATTATTAAACTAACAGATGCCAGAAAAGAACTGTAAATTGATGTAATTAATTATATTGATGTAGTAGGCCTAAGTGTAAATAAATGAATATTATAGACTAGGCCTACTGTACAGATATAGTAGATTCCAGAATTTATGTAATTTCATGGTATTAATTTACATTGTGTAAATAAAAATGAAAGCAAGAGCAAGTTAACTATGTGATCATTGAATATCAAATATTTAATATTATGAGTAGTTGAGTATTGGCTGCAACGCGACACGCGTTGTATTTGCAGGCGGCCAAAAGTTCCCGACAAAATCTCATGCGAATGGAGTTCTTCAACCTGGGACCCCTGTGGGTACCCCATGGTATAATATTTTAGAACATAGCCAAAAACCACATACACTGATGAAAATTAGCGAAGAAATTTCATTTGCTTTTAGTGCCTTAATGTAAAAATATGGAAGAATCGTTACACAGACGACAAAACTTGAATTTTTGGTGGATATACTTTTATCAACATGCTTTTCAAGAAAATCTAGCCAAAAAAAAAATATATCTGCAAGATCTGCCTGTACAAATAGGTTTAGAATCAATATGATCATTATTTAGTCAAAAATAAGCCAATAAAGATGAAAAAATATAAAGAAAATAAAAGATTTTGTTTGGACAACTCAACTTGTAGAAAGAGGAATCTATGGTCAGTATTTTTTCACCAAGTAAGCAATTATGAATTATATACTTTTATCAACATGCTTGTCAAGAAACTCTCTGAAGCCAAAAAACCCTCCATGATTTTTAGGCATAAAAATACAGATTTTTTGACATTTAAATTATAACTGATATGCTGTGCATGTAAAAGTATATTCTAATCAATAGTATAGCTATAACATTTCGGAATCTGACATAAGGGTTTTAAAAAAAAGAACAATATTTGGCCATTTTTAGATAAAAAATATGATTTTTTGTTAAAAAATATAGATTTGTTGAAATTTAAATTAAAACTAATATGCTCTGCATGTAAAAATATAGTTTAACCAATAACATACCTCACTGATAGATATGTCAGAATCTGACATAACTGTCTTTCCCAATTGTGCCTATTTTGGGTTAAAAAGACGATTTTTGGTACAAAATAATGTGGATTTGTTGACATTTATACTGATATGCTCTGCATGTAAAAATACATTTTAACCAATACAGGGGGGGGGGGGCTGGGGGTGGGAAGCAATGGAAGGTCCGACAGTGCACAGGTGTACAACAATAGCGTTCACAGTATAATGGATTTCTGAAACCCATAGTTTGTAAATATTCTATTTAAATTTTTATTCATTTGGTGTTACGTTGTAAGTCCTGTACATCTGAAGACCTCCGCAGTAGTGGTATCACTTCTTACTACAGCATCAATAATTTGTGCAAATATCTTGAAGAAAGTAGGCCTACTGTGTGTCCCACTGCCGTACCCCTTTTGCTTAATTG